CCCAGGACCACCAGCCCAGGGGTGGCACCACCCACAATGGGCTGGGCCCTCCCCGGCAATCACTAATGAGAAAATGCCCTACAGCCTGGTCTTACGGAGGCATTTTTTTTTTTTCAACCGAGGTTCCTTCCCTCCAGATAACTCTAGCTTGTGTCAAGTTGACTTAAAACTAGCCAACACAGCACCTCTAGGCTTTTGCTTACATCACCTAAGTCCATTTGGAGAGGACAGAGTGGAAGGGCACCCGGAGGTAGCCCATAGGTCCCAGGTCTTCTCTGAGGCCTCTGTTTCTCCCTGGGCTGGATTAGGTGGAGCAGACCTGTTAGCTGGAGGAGCAAAATTCCAGGTAAGAACCTGCTGTTTAGCTGGAACCTGGCTATGGAGTCCTTGCCTTTAATGACCAGCTCCCTAGCATAGCCAGGAGGGGCCTTACATCTACCTGCCTGGGCCAGGGCTGTATCTCCTCTTCCTCCAGACACTTCTGGCTTCCCATGGGACACAGGCTAGCATCTTGGCAATGCCAGGAAGGGGCAGCACTCAGGGAGCCAGAAACTCCAGACTGTTGCCCTGACTGCCACTAACCTGTGTACCCGTGAGAGGGCAACCTCTACTCTCTGTACCTTGGTTCCCAGCTCCAAGGGATATGTGGCCCCTAACGGTCTTCTCGGCTCTCTATGGGGCCTAATAATGCAGGGCAGGCGTGGTGTGGTCACACAGACCTGGACTGATTCCTGAGTAGTTTGGTAAGTAAGCAGTGTGCCATGGCTCTGCAGAATGGGACCATTATACCTGTATTTATCATATTGCTTCAAGGTCCAAACAGTGTCATGGGAAAAAAAAATGCCTAGCGTGGGGCTTGGCTCTGATGTAGGAGCAACTGCTTCATGTCTTTGGGGTCCAAGAATGAGTGTTTTGTCCCTGACCTTCCCAGGAGGAAATGAGACTCCTGGGAAAGCTCTGTTTCCAGCTGTTCTAGCATAGAAATTTGGGACCTTTAACTGGAGAGTGTGCACCACTGCCCGCTCAGGGAGGGTCTGTGCGTGGGACACCTGAGGGCACAGCGCTGCTTCCTTCCTCTTCTCTCAGGCCTGGCGATACTCGACAGGCTGCCCTACCTCAGTTCCCCTCTACTCAGACCCTCGCAGCATCCCTTCTCTCCTGGCCCACTTTCTACTGAGCCTGCCCCTCACTTTCCGCTGCCCTTAGTGGGACAGGCCCCACGGGATCACTCAGATGGCACGTTTTTTTCCCCTGTGGTGCGCGTTCAGGCCCTGCAAGACCCTGTGACATTTAGCATCTGCGTGAGAGCACCTGGAGGGGCTGTCACCGTGCCCTTGGCGCGCTGTAAGCCTCCCTCCCATCATGCCTGGAACTCAGCCCAGCCGCCTTCTGTTCCTCCCATTGACACAAGGCACCGTCTATGGGCACGGCCGATCTCTCTCTGGCACCGCCATGCTGGCTCAGCAAACTTCAGGGTTCCCACCCCTGGCCACCGGCCCACGACACACAGGCCTGTGCTCGAGGACCCCACACGTGTTGCAGATGGGGTGCACGTGCTGGACTGTTATGCCTACTGTGGCCCTGGGGAGTGGAAAGCCTGGCAGAACCAATCCCCCCACACACACCACCCCCGGTGCAAGATCGTCAGCCTAGCCTCATTGCCACACAGGCGTGGCTGGGTCCTTGGTGCCCGCTGCCACTAGGCACGGCTGCCAGTTTTGTGGGCACAGAGGATGTGGTGAATTAGTGGTCATGCCTCCTCGGCCGAGTGACAGTTGCATTCGGTATGCAGGTGCCCATCAAAGCCAGTGCCTGCACCCCCAAACTTGTCTCTAGACGGTCCCAAGAGGTATGCACACGTGCAGGTTTGAGACAGACCTCCACGGCCTGCTTCTTCTGTCCTGCTAGTTCTCCACCATCAGGGGGGCCCAAGGTCCGGGAACCTGCCTGTCCCCTAGCCCGACATGTACAGGAGAGTAAGGCATCAGCCAGAGAGAAGGGGCAGGGAAGGGAGGGTACCAGGGAGGAGGGCATGAGGGAGAAAGGGAGCTGGAAGTGGAAGGACAAAGAGACACCCTGACCACAATGCTGTTAGGACCCCATGGTCCCTTGTCAGAGGCAGGCAGGTATCGGGCTGGCCAGTGCCTTCACATGCTCCCTTGAGCCCCCGGGGTTCTCCTGAATGCTTTGCTGGCCTCTGAGCCAAGCATTGCATTTCAGGAGCAGCGGCCAGCACGGCACTGGCCTGAGAGGATGGCCACCTCTGTTCACAGAGTTACATTTCCATGGTTACAGCCTTAGCAATTCCCTTTAGTGTTTTACTGATTTTCAAGCAGTTGCCATGCCCTTGGGCCCTGATAAGTGAGGGTCCCAGCGACCTCTTTTTCGGTCCTTGACGTTTGTTTTGCTGGAATTACTGCAAATACGGCCAACGCCAGGCCAATGTCTACCATGAGCTAACCCCCAGCAAAGTCTCCGAGAACAGTGCCCCAAAGTGCTTCCACGGTTCAGGGAGGATTTCTAATTCCTTAATGATAATTCCTTCTGTATCAGCCGCTGGGTTCATCTCATTTCAGCCACAAAAGAGCCTTACAGGTGAGGAGCATCATTTACCCAATTTTGCACTTGAAGAGGTCCAGAGAAGTCAGGACACTGACTCAAAATCACGGCCTGTAAGTCATGTAGCCACTAACAATTGATCGACACTGTTTCCCCTGAGCAGTGGCTGGGTGGTCCCGGGAATTCTCCTGGTAACAGGCTAGGACAGTGGTTCTCAACCCTTGGGTCACGACTCCTTTGGGGGACCAAATGACCTTTTCACAAGAGTCGCCTAAGATCATCAGAAATCACAGATATTTATATTACGACCCATAGCGGCAGGAAAAATTACAGTTATGAAGTGGCAATGAAAATAATTTTATGGTGGGGGGGGTCACCACAGCATGAGGAACTGTACTCAAGGATTGCAGCGTTAGGAAGGCTGAGACCCGCTGGGCTAGAGGGTCTGAGGCAGGAGGATGGAAATAGAGCTCTCCCCCACCTCTGCCTTCCTCCGGTGCCGCTAGCCTTGGCCATGGTGTTCTGTGCCTGCTTGCTACCCACCAGCTGCGCGGCCCTGCGAGAGCAGGCCTCTCAGCTCTGCCTCTGAATTGCCACGTTGGCGGCAGAAGCGGGAAGCGTATTGTGTGCAGAAACAAAACTGAGTGGTTTTTCCTTTTCTGAAGGTGGTAATGGCGCAATTAGTGGCTAAGCCATTACCCCCTCCTCCCTGGCTCGCCTCCCTCCTTCCCCTCCACCTCCCCCCTCTTTTTTTTTTTTCTTTCCTGAGAAAAAGTGGCTGAATTGAACAGCTCTCCCTCAGCCTTCCACTGACTCTCAGGAAGAGGGAGAGAGGGGCCCCCTGATGTCTCCAGGGGCCCCTTCCCTCAGCTGGGTCAGACACTTGTTGGTATTGGAGAATCATCGAAGGTACCACTGTGTCCACAAGTGAGGTGAGCAATACAGTGATGAATAGATTCTGAGGGGCAAGTTGGAAACAGAGCGGATTTGCAATTCCAGGCCCTTTTATCTGCCCCTTGCTCACTGCGGACAAATGTTGGCATGAGACCTCTGCACAGCCACCTGTGAAACACACTGAGGCACTTTTTTTTTCCTGACTGGAAGGGATGGGGGTTCAAGACCAGGCTGCATTGGTAGGAGTGGCCATGGGCTCACTTTCAAGCTTCCTTTTTTTGCTTTCTGGAAACTGAGAACCGTTCGGGTTTGCCTACTTCCCAGAGCCCGTTTATGGCCTTAGGCCACTGCATCTTTATGGGAGTTTTCTGCAAGGATGACTTTCTTCCTGTTTTCTAGAAAAGGATATGGGGGTGCTCAGAGAGCTTCCTCAGCGCCTTGCCCAGGGTCACAGAGCTAGGAAGCGCCAGGGCTGGAACTCGAACTCAGATCACTAGTCTTAAACGCTCTGCCTTGGGGCATGATTTGTGGCTGCCGGTGTGGTTGATACGCTGAAGAGGTGAGATCCCCAGGAGAGAGGACTAGAGTTCGGGAGAGAAGACTCCAGGGCAGGGCACATCCACACCCCTGGCCCAGCCCTGGGTGAGCCAGGCCATGCTCACTTCATTAGAGTTGCCTCTCGCCAGTTCTACCTTGACATAAAGCACAAGCAGAAACTGGGACAGGAGCCCCAGGAGACCAAATCTGCACGGTCCCTCTAGGGGCATGGGTGGGGAGGGCTTGTGGAAAAGGCCTCAGGAGGGGCCCAGCTGCACAGTGGTGACAAGTAGGGGTGAAAAGGTAAGCCAGAGCCAGAGTCCTGGGTCTGCTCTGTACTTCTTCCCCGAGCTAGAGTGACAGTGTGATACACACAGGGGCTAAAAAGCAGAGAGAGCAGGAGCAAAATAAGGACAGAGGCAGAGGCCAAGTCAACCAGACCAGTTCCCAGAGGGAGCAGAGGAACGGCAGAGGTTACCGGGGGAAGGGAAGGAGAGAGAGAGATGAATTAGCCATCATTCCCCTGTAAACCTTAGAACCCAGCTGTTGCCAGGGCAACGGGGCAATACCTGTCTCTCTAGAGGAGATGAAGTTGCCAGGGTAACTACATCCTGTCTTTCTCAAGGACCATCCCAGAATGTGGCACCCACTAGCCGTTACCATAGCAACTGCCTCTTTGCCCCACTTAATCCCATCCCGTCTGTTAAAAAGGGCCCTATAGTTGGAGGTGGGGGAGGTAGGAAGAGAGAAGATCACTTGTGGACTAAGTTTGTTCTCTTCCCCTTCTCCATCCCCCTCAGCATGCCACCCTGGGAAAACAGGGTCCACTTGCTCCTGGGCCCACTCAGTCCTGCAGGATTGTGTATACAGGGGGGCCAGGGCAACACAGGAGCAGGTTTTGAAGTGGAAGGCAGGCAGGTGTTGGGGAGGCAGTTACCGGGGCAACGGGAACAGGGCGTTTCGGAGGTGGTTGCCATGGGGACCTGGATGCTGACGAAGGCTCGCGAGGCTGTGAGCAGCCACAGTGCCCTGCTCAGAAGCCCCAAGCTCGTCAGTCAAGCCGGCTCTCCATTTGCACTCAGGAGCACGGGCAGGCGAGCTGGCCCCTAGTTCTGGGGGCAGAGCAGCAGCGTCCCAGTCCTAGATCTCAACCTAAAGCCTTGCCTGCCTGCCTGCCTGCCCGGTGCAAGGATGGCCACCATCACCTGCACCCGATTCACAGAAGAGTACCAGCTCTTTGAAGAACTGGGAAAGTGAGTCACACCTCAGGGAGTCTTGGAGGGCATGGGGGGGATCAGCCTCTGGGGCAGGGGGCGTGTGCCTGTGTGACTAGAGCTCTCTGGTGCATGCAGAGGGAGGTGTCCTGCATGATTTGGGGGGCACTGTGTGTGCACAGAGTGTCCAGAGTCAGGCGTCGACACATTTACGTGCCCATCCAGCCTCGGTGTGTGTGTGTGTGTGTGTGTGTGTGTGTGTGTGTGTGTGTGTGTGTGTG